CCTGGGACAGAGAGGCTGAGAGAAGGACCTGACTCTAAAAGTACATGTGGGGGCATGGGAGTGGACACCTGGGCTCCAGCACCTGCTCCAGTGAATCGTCAGCATAAACATGAAGAAGCTGGAGCAAAGGCTAGAGCCAGGTCCCCCTCCTCCAGGAGAGGTCCCTACCCAGTACACAGTACGGTCATGCTTTCTTGGTCCATGCAACATGAACACCTTCAGCACAATGAACTGAGAGAAAACCAGAATTTGTAGGAGATGTTGGTTCCACCCCATTCAGACAGAGGGAGGTCTCCCACACCGAGGGTCAGAGCTCCCAGCCCTGGGCTGTTGAACACGAGGAGCACACCGGTACCTCCCTTGGGCACATTGGGCACAAGGCCTGGTCCAGTCCCTGCACTCAGAGAATGTTCTGGGCAGGGATCTGTAGGCAGACAAGCAGAGGACACCAGGCAGAGGGATTTCTAGCCATGCCCAGATGCTGAGGAGTGGGCACCTGGTGAACTTTACTGGTGAAAACCCTGGGGTCCAGAGACAGCAGACGCTGGCAGTGTTGGGCTGCTGCTGACCAGAAACATCAATTCTCTCACTTTTGGACTCAGGTGTCATGTGCCCGTGAACTGGCAATCAGGGTCAGAATCCTATTTCCTGTGACCACTTAAGTGGCAGGTTTCCAACTACAGAACTGCTATTGTAGTTCTCATGCGCAGTTTGAAATCCTGCCCTCTGTGCTGGGGACACACAACTCCCTGCATGGCTATTAAGCACACACTACACACTCCATGGAGCTCTGTACACATGTGCTGAATGAGCACAAGTCAGGAAATTCTGCCCAGCAGCAACCTGTGATGAGCAGACACCTAGAAGAAGGAGGGCAGCCCTCCCAACGGTTAGCTGGACGAGCTAAGTGGTTGGGACACTCACCCAGGAAGTGGCAGACCCAGGCTCTAGGCTCCACTGCACCAGAGAATATTTGGACTTGTGTTCCTCTGACTTGCTAGAACATGTTTCTCCAGCCCTGCCTTTAAAGCTGACCCCTGGGCTTTCAAAGAGGGGGAGCTGTGGGGACAGGAGGAAAAGCCCTAGACTTGAGCATTTCTGGCCCAGAGAGATGACTGCCCCTTTGGAAAGGAGCAGGTCCTGCATCCTAACCTGGACCCCTGCTCTGAGAGAGCAGAATCTTCCCTCCATTGATTAAATATGAAATGCACAGTGCGGGACCTCAGCTCAGAATGTGCTGGAGCGGACAGTGAGAAACTCTATGGGCATGTCTGACACCTGATGTCAAACTCTAAGCCAGCTGGTTCTGCCAGAGGAAACATGTGATCTGCTTCAGGCTCCTCAACAACAATTCACAAGCTCCTCATGGCCAAATGGGAAGATGTGTCCCCATGGACTGCTCAGGTGGCTTCATGATGTGACAGCAGGTCCCAAAAGAATCTGGCTGTGATTCAGACTCTCATAACCTTCCTCCTTACGTGGAGCCTGCTGCAATTAGGAAGCTAAAGGGGTTTCTTGGCAATAGGCAGAAACTCCTCAAAAGGAGTTTAGAATAAGACTCCTGATGTTATCCATTTACTGGATTTATGTGCTTTTCAGTGCATACAATCCCCTCACTCTTCCCTGTTGGTCCCTTAGTGCTTCTTCTTACTCCTTCAACCAAAATCCTGCCTGATTCAAGCAATCAAGGGACTTTGGTGACAAGAAGAGCTGTTGTGACAGAACAAGCCTTTTGTGCTCATCCTTCAAGGTATGTTTTTGTCTCCAAACACAAGAGATTTTGTGCTGAGTTTGGAGAATCAGCCTTTTACTTATTCCAAATTGTGCACCCAATATATAGCACTTTCTGTACAGAAAATAATTCTTCAAACTATTTGAGAGTCTTGTTTCTGATCAGAGGTGTTTGAAAAATGGAGAGAAAATGGTTCCATGAGGGATTTTAAATAATCACATATTTATTTTTGAAAAGTTCCAAATTCTTCAGTTTTTTAAAAGATATGAAATATTTTCCTCAAAATATGCAAGTGTCTGATTTATTTTTTTCATTATGAAAAATATTTTTATACTGTTTTTGAACATAAATCACAAAAACTGCCATGTATTAGGTCAGACCACAGGTTCATCTGCCCAAGCATCCTGTGCCACAGAGTGGCAGAGAGCAGATACTGAAAGTGAGAGTGAATTGGGTCTACCCTGTATTTTTTCCCCCACTGTTCCTCTCTCACTTGCAGCTTCCAGCATTTAAGGTCTAGAAAGTTCCAATTTACAGGCTGTATGCTTTATCCCCATGGTCAATAGCTACTGTTGGTCCTTTCCTCCAAGAATTTGTCCAATCTCTTTTTGAATCTACCTAAACTGCTGTCTTCCACAACATCTGGTGACAGTGAGTTCCATACTTTAATGACACACTGGGGGAAAAAGAACTCCCTTGTGTTAGTTTTAAACTTACTACCTACTAGTTTCATTTTGTGACCCATCATTCCTGTATGGTGAGAGAGAGTAAATTAAAATCTGTACTTCAGAAAGGCCTTTGACACGGTATCCCATACCATCCTTATTAATAAACTGAGGAGATTTGCCTCGGATGATTATACGGTAGACTGGGTAGCAAACTGGCTGAAGGGTCACACACAGAGAGTGGTGGTGGATGGGTCAGTGTCAACCTGGAAAGATGTGTGCAGTGGGGTCCCTCAGGGCTCAATTCTGGGGCCGATGCTGTTCAACATTATCATCAGTGATCTGGACGAGGGGGTGAGAAGCACCCTGTCCAAATTCACGGATGACACAAAAATATAGGGTGAAGCTAACACCCTGGAGAGGAGGAACCAGATCCAGGCTGACCTCGACAGGTTGGGGAAGTGGGCAGAGAGCAACAGGGTCCAACTCAATAAGGACAAGTGCAAGGTGCTGCATCTAGGGAAAAAAAACTGCCATCATACCTATAGGCTGGGGGGTGACCTTCTCAGCACCACTGAGGCAGAAAGGGATCTTGGAGTCACTGTGGACTCCAGGATGAACATGAGTCATCAATGCGATGAAGTAGTCGGCAGAGCCAATCGCACCTTGTCATGCATCTGTAGGTGCTTCACAAACAGGTCCAGGGAGGCGATTCTCCTTCTCTACGCAGCACTGGTCAGGCTGCAGCTGGAGTACTGTGTCCAGTTCTGGACGCTGCAGTTCAAGCGGGATATGGACAACCTGGAGAGGGTCCAAAGAAGAGCCACTCGTCTGATTGGAGGCCTGCAGCAAAGGTCCTATGAGGAAAGGCTAAGGGACCTTAACCTTTTCAGCCACTCCAAGAGAAGGCTGAGGGGACCTTGTGGCGGTGTACAAATTCATAAGGGGAGAGCAACATGAAGTAGCCTCCTCTTAAAGACCCTCAAGGTAGGGCAGAGCACCACCTCCCTTGAAAGCCCATTCCAGATTCTGGCAACCCTTACCATAACAAAGTTCTTTCTGATGTCTAACCTAAATCTGTTCTCTGTCAGTTTGTGGCCATTGTTCCTAGTTACTCCAAGGGGTGCCCTAGTAAACAGAGCATCTCCTATTCCTTGCTGCCCCTCTCCCTCCCTCCCCCCCGGCCATGAATTTGCAGGCAGCCTTCTCTTGCAGAGGCTGAAGAGATCCAGGGCCCTCAATCTCTCCTTGTAGGACTTTGCCTGCAGGCCCCTAACCATCCAAGTGACCCCCTCTGAACCATCTTGAGGTTGTCCACATCCCTCTCGAGGTTGAGCCTCCCCGGGGCTCTCAGCCCAACACCGCAAATGGTCAACTCTGGCCAAACCCTGATATCCTTAATCCAGCACAGTCCAACTCTATAAGACTTTCATGCCATGGCAAGCCAACATCTGGTACCAAAGGGTAACAGGCATAGGTGACTGGTAGGGGGTGCACACGAGTGCATGTGCCCCCCCTGACAAGGCTGGTGCCCCCCAATGGCCGACACTGATACTGTCGGTAGGGCTGGTGCCCCCCTGACAGGGCTGTCATCGCACCGCTTCTGCAGGTGCCCCCCCAGATTCAGGAGGCACCAGTCACTCATGGTAACAAGGACATGGGGAAGTAAGCACCCCCAGAACAGGTCACAGCCAGTGCCTGGATCTCATCCTTCTGTTCCTCCCTGACCTGGAGGCAGGGGCTTTGCAGTGGTGATGCCTCTTGCTGTCTCCCAGGGCTCAGGGCAACAGGACACTGCAGAGAAAGCAAATTTGTCTCTATGCCCCATCCTGCTGGCTATGTGATCCCCCTTCCCTGGCCGCTCATGGGGCTAGAGATCCCCCATCCCATCCTCCTATTGTCTGTTGTCACTGAGTCTGAGGTTGGCCTTACACAGCTGTGGCTTTGGCCAGGTCCCTGCAGGGAGGTCTGTGTGGGTGGGATTACTATGGGCAAGGGCCTGGGTAGTCCAGAGTGGGGCCATGTTTGGCTCACTCCTCCCAGTGACTTGGGTGCTGATATTTCAGGGGCTGCTCTGGTCCCTCAAGCACTCTGGGTCCTGGGCAGGACCTTTTGCTGCATGGTTGAGGAGTGCCAAGCTGCTGAGCTTAGTGACCAATAGCCTACAGAAGTAACCCAGGCTTTCTCAGGGATGCATGTTCCATCTTGTGGTACTTGGTCATGTGGGAAAGGAGCTCACCATAGACTCCTCCTTGGGACATCCTAGCAAGGTGGTGTGTGGTGGGGATGTGAATCTGGGGAGAGAACAAGGGTTGGCTTTGAGGTGGGTAAAGGCCTGACTCACTGGGGTAGGGGTAGGGGCAGGCTGATGGACAGGAGAGATCCAGGGCAGAAGTCTGAGTTGAAGGTGTTGGGATGACTGAGTGCAGATCCCAGCAATGTCTGAAGGAGGGAGACCTGGGTGCTGGGGCCTGGGCTCTTTGTAGGCATGGAGAGGATACACAGGCACATCATTTCCACTGTGGACCCAACGGACGGCAGGGCACTCAGTGCAGATGGGAGACCAAGTGCCTTTGTCTTTTCAGGCCTGACACCTCACACCCATGAAGAGGGAAAACCAGACCCAGGTGACCGAATTCATGTTGGTCGGGTTTTCTGCTTTTCCAGACCTTCAGGGAGTGCTGTTTGTGGTGTTCCTCCTCATGTACCTCATGACCTTGGCTGGAAATCTGGCCATAATGGCTGTGATCCAGATTGACAGACACCTGCACACCCCCATGTACCTCTTCCTAGGGGTTTTGTCTTTCTCTGAGACCTGCTACACCTTTGTCATCATCCCTAAGACCCTGGTAGACCTGACAGCAGAGAGCACAACCATCTCATTCCCAGGATGTGTCGCACAGATGTTCTTTTTTCTTGGACTTGGCGGAACAAACTGCATCATTTTAACAGTGATGGGCTATGACCGATATCTAGCAATATGTCACCCCCTGTGCTATGGGAGCCTCATGAGCTCACACATTTTTGTTAAGCTGATGGCTGGGTCGTGGATCAGCGGGTTCCTATTGTCCCTGTTTGAAACCACGCTGATATTTTGGTCTCCCTTCTGCGGCTCTAACATCATTAACCATTTCTTCTGCCACATGAGGCCTGTGCTCAGGTTGGCCTGCACAGACAGTAACACAATTGAGGTTGCAATATCCATGATGTCCATGCTTGGCTTGTCGGGCAGCTTCCTGTTCATAGTACTGACATACTTGCTCATCCTGGGCACCATCCTGCGGCTGCCCTCAGCCAGTGGAGAAAGGGAGAAAGCCTTCTCCACCTGCGCTGCCCACCTCACCGTGGTGGTCATGCACTTTGGCTTTGCCTCCATTATATACCTCAAGCCCAGCCCACGCGGCACACTGGAAGAGGATACTCTGATGTCTGTGCCCTACACCATTCTTACACCATTTCTGAGTCCCATGATCTTTACCCTGAGGAACAAAGAAATTAAAAGTGCCCTGAGGAAAGCATTTGGCAAAAGAATATTCTCTCAGAAGATGTGAATGTCCTGGCAGAGTCTCTGGAAGCTGTTTTCCAGAGAGAAGGGCCCTGGCATATGGCCCAATCCTAAAACTGTATGGGCCTGGGTTTTCAGCTTGCCACCGCCACAGCCTCCCTTGGTGACCTAAGGCAGCTCCTGGGGCTGTTGGCTAAGAGAAAAAGCCGCAGGGTGAATCTTGCATCCTGACCAGGCTACTTTGACGTTGATGACAGCCCTAGGATTGGCAGATATAGAATTGTTTGATTTTTTTGTATTGTTGCTTTTTTGTTATCACTCTGTATCAATAAATTTGCCTGTTATCAACTGGCAAGTATTGTGGTCCGTCTGAGGGTTGTGTTCTCTCAGAACAAAGATATAAGGGCTTGGTTCCCAAAATTCAGTCCAACAGGAGACAGGATGGACAAGGACATTGTTCCCCATGAGAAGACAGAGTATTTCCTGAGAATGAATGGGTTGGCGGGGCAGAGGTGTTTGAAAATCAGGATGTTTCTCTTTCTAACCCACATTTGTGTGTAAAATGGGGCTAGAAAGCCTCTCCCTCCCCCATTTCCATGAGGTTGTGAGTACAATATTAATATTTTTACAGGGTACGAGAGGATTGAACCCCTGCAGATGTCCTGCTCCACAGAAATGCCCCAGGAACAAAGAGAAAACAAATTCCAGCCCAGAATCTGACCCACCACGGGTGTAACTGGAATAACCCATCCTGGAAGAGGCTCAGCATTTACATCAGCTTTGAGTCCATTAAATGCTTTGCTCTCCATGCCTTTAAAGCCTGGTACTTAATCCCAGTACAGGCACCATGTGGGCCAGTGCAGTGACAGCTTTGCCCTGGGCACAGATCAACAGCAAAGAGAAATGTGATTAAATGGTCCTAGCACCTCTGTATGGACCATTGCAGATCTCAAAGCAGGGGAAACCCAGAGTGACTCCCAGAAAGGCAGAGATAGTGAAGGGAGCAGAATCAGGATTCCTGTGCTGAGCTGCTGTTATGGCAGCAAGGTCTGGAAAATTGGACTAAGTCAGCTAATCTATGCTCACTGCCTGGGGTGCTTTTGCTCACATTGAGCTTGGCCCCGGCCACCTCTTCGTAAATCCGTGTGCCACAGGACTCTTTCTACTGAGCACTTATTCTTGCACAGGATGTTCAAATCATCCATGTAGGCCAGGACTTTGGCTTGTTCCTTACTTCCCCTGGGTATCTGGACTCTGTGGATCCCAGGGTCCTGCCTGATGCACTGAGCCAGGGGTTTGATGGCACAGATGAAGTGGATCAGGGAGAGTGGGCAGTCCTGATGTACCCCCAACTCTATTGTGATCCTCTTGCTCAGGAAACCATTCACCAGCACCTTGCTGCTTATGTCCATGTACAGCATCCTTATCCAGCTGGTGAAAGTCAGAGTGTTGCCCATTCACTGCAGGGTCTCGAAGAGGAACCAGTGTGACACTCTGTCATAGGCTTTTTCCAGGTCCAGGTTTAGCCCTGCCATCTTCTGTCCGCTGTCTCGTTCCAGCTGGAGCATGTCTCCATGAGGTAAAGCTAGACCAGGTTGCCCTGCACCTCATCTGCATACAAATTTTTGGAGCATCCCAGGACTTGTGACAAGAACACCTGGCTCCAGTCATGAATGGGGACTAATTAGCACATGAATCCTTTGTGCGTGGTATCTGGAGTGCACACATGTACTGAGCAGTGCTGAGCTGTGGAGGTCACCATGGCTTTAGTGGTTATTGACTCTGCTGGGGTCCAGCCCAATGAAGTGTATGGTAAATCATGAGACTTTTGCCCTTGGAATTAGTTTTGTTTGCTTTCTTTTTTTTTTTTTTTTTTTTTTGTGGCTAAGATCAAGCAAGACCGGGCACATTTGAACCCCAAGGTTTTTGGGTCTTGGGTTTACACATAAGCTGCCTTCTTGGATTTGGGAATCATCTGAAGTCTTAGGTGGGAAATTGTTTGCATAGTAGCAGAGCTGTATGGACCTGACAACTGAGCTCTGCTCAGTTAAATTTTGGAATTGATTCTTGGGCTTTGTCCATTAGAATTTAGGATGGATTCTCCTTGAATAAGATTAGAAAAAGAAAAAAAAATTGTTGTATATATCAACAGATGCCCAAATGCTGCTCAAAAGTTTGCGGTTACCATATGCAAATTGTGACAGCCAAGTTTAATTTCAAGGTTATCATTTTCAAATTTGCTTCTCACTTCCACGTGCTCAGGGAGAGCAGAGTCTGGCAGTAAGGAGAGTGAGAAGAAGCTGTCAGGGGCAAAAGCTGGGGGGAAGCAGAGAGCCAAGGGGCTATCTGCCTTTTCTGATTTATTTTCCCTAACGCAGCAGCGGGAAGGGGACAAATTCAAGGTAAACCTCCAATAATTAGATTCCATACCTAAAAATGACAACAAATTTATACATTTTCCATACTAAGAATCTAATTATTTGGGGGGAGGGGAGTTGTCTTATAATTAGGTTCATCTTCGATTTGTTCCTTGGTGTCATATAAGCTGCTAACCAACTTTAATCTTGATACTCCTTATATTCTGAGTTTGGTGAGCAGCAGATTGAATTCACCTTCTCTGGAGCCCCTGGATGAATCCAATATGCCTGTGTCATTTCTTTTTCTCAGCAGGAGCTCAGAGCAGGATGCTCACCTCTGTAGCGTAGAGGAAAGTCATCCAAATTCCTCTCAACCTCCTTCAGTTCCTGGGGCATGGGACAGATCTGTTTTGCCCGTGCCAGCAGCAACCAGAGCCCTCCCAGCTCTGGTCAGTCTGTGTTTTCAACAAGACTATCCATTACAGTCCCCCAGACCTTGCCCCTGCTCACAGAGCTATCTTCAAACATGCCCATCTGGACCCCAACTCCACACACACTCTGGCTTGCTTGCTAGGATAAAGATTTCTCTCCCTGACTGGCTGCCAGCCACTACTATATCCCCAATTAGGTTGCTCAGGAAGGTCTCACTGGCTTTCCCAAGATGGACCCATTAGGAAAGTTCCCTCCTACAGTACAATCGGGTTACAGTGACCCACTCGGGGCTCCGAACCCCTGGGCTCTGGAACAAGTCCCAACTTCACTGGCTGCTGTTTCTCTCTCTCTCTCTCTCTCCCCACCATGCCATTTCTTTGCCCACAATCTCAGCTCCCCCTGTGCTTCCTTTCTCTTTCCCCAGCAACCTGCTAGGATCTGTAGTTTCTGTCATGATGTTACAGTCCATTACACCTGCAATAGAGGCTCTCACTGGATTATGCAAGACAGCCAAACACCTGGCTCCTGCATGCTCTGGAAGTGCAGTCATTTTAAACTGCCCCCAGATATTCCAGATGCTGTGCCTATCCACCCACAGAGAGTTTGCACATACAGCTAGCACATACTCTCACACAGTTTGGGCACAAACTCTTTACCCTGCAGGACAGAGGAGACATCTCTGGTGTGAGGCTGCAGCCCCAGAACACAATGCGATTCCCTCTAGGCTTCTGCTCTGTCACTCTTCTCTCTGCTCAGGGCCTCAGAGATCCATAGGGTACAATGGGGAAACAATAAAATATCTATAACTTTGTTGTTTTTTGTCTGATTATGATTAAATTTTCAGAGGTGGTAGACTCTGCAGAGAGGATGAAGCCTGACAAGTTTCAAGAATATCGGTGCAGGGGTTTGGGAGGAACAGCACCCCAAATTCTTGAAAGCAAACTCATGTCACATCTAGGCATTACAACATAGCGGGGTCAAAACTGCAGGGCTGGTAGCTCTTACCGAGGCCACAAAGCCTGCCAAGTTTCAAGAAGATCGGTGCAGGGGTTTGGGGGGAACTGGCCCTCAAGCTGCGGACAAGCCAAACTGGTGCCATGGGTGCTGTGGGACTGACGGTGTCTGTCTTGGGCCGGGAGGGGAGACACTGCTGCAGGCCTGGCTGCTAAGCTGCTGTGTTCCCAGTTACCAATCAATCAATCACGATTCACTCAGGGCCCAGCTCAATACACAGGACCTAGCTACTACATAGCGACTTAACGAGCATCAATTAGCACCTGCAAAACCAGGCTAAGGAGAGGAAAGAATCAACACAGACAATCAACTGCCCCAAGAGAAACGCAGTCTTGGCAGGAGTTTTGTCTGTCAGCAGCTAAGGGTGCAGGGCCCCACAACCCCCCCGCACCGACCTCCTCCACAGCTGGCAGGCGTCACAGCAGGGGCCACCATCCCTGCAGCTGTCACCCTGCTGCGCCTGAATACACGCAGTGTCACCCTGTGGTGGGAGAAAACTCCCTGGAGTTCATTGTCTAGCTGCATAGGAACCAGACAACACGGGTAAAGTTTTACTGCAGTATATTTGCTCGAGCAATGACCATTAAGCCAGCAAAGAGGCAAAATGGCCCCCCCCTAAAGGGTGGGGCAATTTTTTATACTTTTTACAACAAGGCAAGACTACAGGGTTAACAAAAAGCAATACTTGGGTGGTGCTTCACAGATCTTCAGAACAGCATATTTCTATTAAGCTGAACAAGCACTTTCTAAAAGCTAAAAGTTAAGTAACAGTAACAATATGATAGTTTAGCAAAAACTTGCACAGTAGTAGATACTTTTTAAGGACACGATCACTGTACTTAGAGCAATGGCTTCTTTGTCTTATCTTGTTCCTTGCTGTAGCTGATTTTACAGCACACAGACACAGATCCACTTGCTGCATTTTACTCAGAAAATGCTTAACACAGTTAAAATGATTACTTGACACAAGCAAAGGCTTAGCTATCATTCTGCCTTGTGGTCAGCGGCATTGCTAGGCCACAGGTCATGCCTTGTATTCAGCTGCAAAGCTAATACTTCTTAAGAATTCAAATTATTGTTAACCTAACAGTATGCTATCAGAAAACTATTCTATTTCAGGGTAATAACAAACATGCTCACCACAACCCATGGCACGAGTTTTGCTTGTCCGCAGCTTGAGGGAAAGTTCCCCTCAACCCCTCCACTGATCTCCTTGAAACTTGGCAGGCTTTGTGGCCTCAGT